GGAAATCGTTTTTGAGGGAAACACCTCAGAACAACATGCACTGTTGAACCATTCACACACACAAAAAACAGGAAAGTACATTAAAAAATGAACTGGGTCAATTGTGATGCCATATTGGCTTTGAACTAAAACACCAGATCAATTAAGATAAATACAGGCCAGAAGATAACTAGAGATAACAGAGTGAATGAACACAAACAGGACTGTTTTATCAGAACTTCTTGAACATTAATTTATTTGCCCTGATGCTCTTCACCTTAATAAACTCACGGACCTCAACAGAGAGGGGACCATTATCATAGTCATTAGTATGGAAAGACCTACTCTATTCAGGCTTATGTAAGAGCAAGCCTCCTCATTGTCCCCTCCTCCTCAGCAGACCATCTGTGTCAACGGAATTAGGGATATGCCTTTAGGCCTCAACAGATAAGAGACTATCTCTCCATGAGTACATGTAGAAGGTTCTGCTCATGAATTACTGCCTTACAAATACCATAACTCAACATTAGCATCATAACATGTTACTGCTAATAAAGCATGTCAATGTTGCTTCATAATTAAACCAATAGCCTTTACATTATTAAAGGAAGTATACTGACATGACAGAAGAGGCTGAAGGATTCATTTGAAGGCAGCAGTCTCACATGAGAAGTACACTCAATAAGGTTTTTTAAGTTAAGCTAGCTTTTATTCGATCTACCAGTGGTGATAAATGATATTTGTTTAAACAAATTACCAACTGCTGCAGATTTATACAAAAGCTGTTTATTTCCACGTGTCTCTCTCACGTGTCTATGCTTTGTAAGCACAAGCCAAAAATAAAACCGCTTAATAATATTATTAATAAAGCTAATATTTTCAGTATCTCGTTCAATTCCATGACATGAAAAGGACCGGTGGTCATGTGATGTCAACATGGTGGTGCCCATGAGGGGGCGACCCCGCGCTATGTAGAATAAAACAGCTTTTTCTAGAACACTGAATGTTTTAATAATATTTCTCAAAAGTGAACTTAAGTCATTTTTAATTAGCAACAAATTACCGAGTGCACATTTAATCTATAAACATTCAAACAAAACGCCGTACCGTGTGTATTATCCGACAGTTATGGCGTTTGAAGATCCTAACTAGGTTAATATGTCACTGTAGTAAACATGACAAATCCGGTTAAGGTTTAACAAAGGAAGGGGCGAAGCGAGCGTACCTTAAAGAACCCACGATCGAGTCTGTGTTCGCGCGAGTAATTTCAAATAAATTCAGATAAATGCGGGAATTTCGCATGACTGCGATAACAAGCGAGCTCCACCAGAAAATAATACAGGAAATACAAGAATAATAAACACTTAAGATCGCCATAAATAAGGAATGTGTATTAAATTAATGTTAAATTCGTTTGTAAAAGCTCACACACGAATGCATGTCTAGCTTCTTACAACCAAAACGCACAAGTCTAATTTTCCCCACACCACTTCCGTGCATAAATTAAATTGCATTTCAGCTCAGACTCGACGTAGATGCTCATGAAATACATTGTAAAAGGGCTAAAGTTGATTTTAAGGCATTCCTGAATATCTCTCAAGCACCGTACAGTAAGCAGGAGCATTAATATGCTCTCAAACGGCCTTGATTACGTTATGCAAGTCATTTTAACCACCAATTTGAACGAGAGCCGGCTTTAAACATAAGTTTAGTAGAAAAATGAGGCCGCGTGTTGTAGTAGCATCAAAAGGGGAGGATATATGCGTCCCTTACAATTAAAATGGGAAATAAATAATACAAAAGAACACGTGTGAGTTTATTGCATGACAAAGTAGCTACTAGAGAGTAATCCGTTTTAAAGGAACAAGAAGCGACTATACAAGCTTTCAATGCCCCATAAATAAAACTGTAACATATTATTCTTGCAAATACAACAGCTCATGGTATAAAAGGAGTTAAACAGGAAGCTAAGATATGTGTGCAGGATTAGGTTTATGTAACATAAGTGTTGCTGCTTGAGATCGTCCACTAACAAAGAAAAAGGAGGAACCTACCACGTGACGGGCGCGCGATCCGAGGGAATTTCGGCAACTATTCCACCGACCTTTGGCTTTAATAGCACAATAATGTCACCAAAGCACAAAATAAGCCGTTTGGTCAGGCAACCCCACCGCCTGTGCCATATCCGTGTCCGCTTCGTGAAAAACAACCCGGTTTCAGGACCCCTTTTCGTTATCGGCTCCGGAATCACGAAATGGGCGATACTAGACAACACCTTGCTGCTGCTGTCCCCTTCAGTGGATTATGGATAGCAAATATATATATTTTGTTGTATATTATGCATCGATTGTTTGCTCAGATACGAATTCTTTTCATATACGCCTTTATTTACAGATTTGAGGTGTCATAGACCACCGGTTTCGAGATCATTTTCTCATCGTTGGAGGGAGAAACGCACGAAAGATGGCGCCTCGTTCGTCTCCCTTGGATTTGAGCCTGACAAATACAGATGCAGAGCGTGTACGAGAGAGCCTGTAGGCGGGAGACATTCTCACGCCCGCCGCTAGAGTGACCGCAGACCCGCAGCTCCGCGACTGGCCACTAGAGGGGGACCGAGAATCGACTGAGAATGTTGTGTGTTTAGGAAAACATGTGGTATATATATATATATATATATATATATATATATATATATTTTTTTTTTTTTTTTTGTATGTGGTGTATATTTGTTGTGAAAAACAGTGCAAAGACATTGAGTATAAATACAATACTCAAAAACTATAGTACCGGTCAAAAGTTTGGAAACAATACTACTTTTCATGTTTTTGAAAGAAGTCTCTTATGCTCATCAAGCCTATATTTATTTGATTAAAAATTCTGGGGAAAAAACAGCAATATTTTGAAATATTATTAAAATGTAAAATTATGGTTTTCTATTTGAATATACTTTAAAATATAATTTATTTCTGCAATGCAAAGCTGAATTTTCATCAGCCATTACTCCAGTCTTCAGTGTCACATGATCCCACATTTTAGAATGATTTTCTGAAGGATCATGTGACACTGAAGACTGCAAATACTGAAAATTCAGCTTTGCATCAGATAAATAAATAATATTTTAAAATAGCCCATAATCAAATATAAAAACATTATTTTAAATTGTAAAAATATTTCACAATATTACTGTTTTTTTTCCTGTATTTTTGATCAAATAAATTCAGGCTTGATGAGCATAAGAGACTTCTTTCAAAAACATTAAAAGTAATGTTTCCAAACTTTTGACTTGTGCTGTAGATGGTTAGCTTAATAACAAATATAGCCTATTTAATACATGTCTACATTAATAATATAATACATATTATAATATAAATGCATTACTAAGTAATTTAGTTATGTAATTTAATTACTTTTCCCTTGGAAAAAAAAGGTAAGGGATTACTCTTAATTTTTCTGGAATTTAATTACAGTTTGATGTAATTGCATGAAATACTAATATAGAACAATTCTATATAAAACAATAGTGGATTTAACATTAAAATCAAACCTCTGTATTGTTTTTAATGTAAACTAAATACTTTGGTCAGTTCAAGAATCATTTTATATCATTTATTTGAAAGAATTATGCTCTTGAAGAGCAGTTTCATGTCTATCCTTGTTTAACTGGTCAAGGTTAATATCCACGGGCTTTAGAAAGTATAATTAATAAGTAGGCTAATGCGATACTTTTTAGAGAGAACTACTAATCTAATTACACTGTTGATGATGTAATTAGTAGGCATAGCAATTAATCACTTATTTTGAGTAACTTAACACGTAACTTAACACGTTTATTATATTATGTTCTATTTTATTATATTATATATTATATTATATATTAGGCTATATTATATTATATTATATTATCTTCCAATGTCCAGTCGGATAATGTTTTAATGTCTTTTTTGTTCATATAGGCACTGACAGCAGTTTATAGGGCTACTAATGGTAAAATCCATTAGATTAGATTTATGCGGCCAGTAAAAAACAAAAAACAAAAAAAAACGTCGCTCATAACGTCAGCAGGTAGGATATTACGTCAGATAAACGTGTCGCCAGAACTACAAAATAACGGCATGACATGGACTTTGATCAACATTAAACTGTTGTTTTTGACCATATGAAATTAATTTGTTATTATTAATGTATTTTTTCTCAAAAGTCGGAGCATTTGTTGGTTGTATCTGAGGTTTAGCCTATTTCAGTTTGTGACTGTCCCTGCAGTGGCCACTGTAGAGCGCTGCGCCATCTAGTGTTTGATTGAGGGATAGCGCGCTGCAGTATTTGCTGAGTGTGCTGTTCCTCTTTCCTGCTATACAGTAGCTATTTCACTATTATACGTCTTTTATATATATTTGGTAATATTAAAAATGTAAATCATATTTGAGAATCTCTCTGGGCACTATACAGTAACTTCTAACAGGAAAAACTGCAATTTAATTCAGACATCATATACTCACCCTCCTGTTTAACAATACACAAAATGTAAGTCTAGCCGGTTTATATGGAAAAAAAGGTTACACATAAAAAATACGACTCTTCTAAAAAGTTAAATATGCCATGTTGCCTGTAAATAAATAATTTTTTTTAACAAATTTAAATCTCCTCATTCACACACTCAGGCAGAAACTGTAGATATTTTGTAATATTGATGCTAAAGTCATACCAGAAAACACCATGCCATATAGATATAACATGACATATATGTAGCCTACCATTAAAGAAGGTACATTCTCCTTTTTTTTTCTTTCTTTTTTTTTTTTTTTGGACATTCTGCTGACAGACTTGCTCTCTAACCCAGTAAACATAAGCTCATTCCATTGAGGTCAACTTCGCCCAGGTCACCTTTACCATATCTCAGCCCTCTCTGACACTTTTTGCAGATTGTTTCTCCTCCCTCTCTTCCTCCTTCCCACCCACAGTCTGGGAAGTAATCCTATATATATGGGTTGTTCACCCTGTACTTTCTTAACGGTTTTCCTCACCTCTCTGACTTTTGTCACACAAACAAACAAAGAAAAATGCCAGAAGAAGTTCCTGCTCAGTGCAAGGTTACCAAAGATGAGCTGGACAAATGGTGAGTCATATTTCAGTAATGATATATCAAAACCAAATACATTAGAGCAAAATTGAATTGTGAATCTGTATCTGGTGCTTTTTGATGAGCCCGTTGCATGCTTTATAGCCCAGTATGTTTGTTTGTAACAAGTTTTTATCATGCATTACAAAACCTCTGTCTGTATATAGGTTATCTGTAGTGGTTTGTGAATGAGACGTGTTGGATACTGAACGACAGGAGAGAAGATTGAGCACATGTGCAGGGGGGGAGCAGGTTTTGGAAGTGATGATGGAGGTGGAAAATTATCCATGTTAGCCATCATGTTGCTAAGTTAAAGCATGTGGCTGCAAACATTTGATGTCAACCGAGTTTAGGAAATGCATATTACAATAGGTTCTGAATATAAAGCTCATGTAATTTTCCTCGCATTGCACCAATCACGCACAAATGATCAACCTCCATCTGTAATTGTTAACAAAGCAAAGTGCTCTATTTCTAGGTCAAAAGGTCAGAGGTCAATGCACTCACACAATGGCACAATATTGTGAACTTTACGGTGAGTTGCACAAGTTGTTCCATTCTCAATGTACTTTATGACTATCTCTTAACTGATTTAGTCAAGAGCACTCATCATTTGCAGCGCATCACTTCTGTTTTGGCCACTTACACATGAAATATAGCATTTGTAAGAAACAGAGTATTGCATTATGTATCAAATTCATTAAATAATCATTCAATGCAAATCCAGTATTTGAGATACAAAAGGAATACAATTAACCATCTGGTCCACAATTTGGCGGTAATAAATGACAGAATTTTTTTATTTTGTTTAAATTAAATGAATGTTTTTTATTTTATATTTTGTATTTTTAGGGGCTTTTGTGGTACTAAATTATATTTCTAGATCAGTTATGATCCATTTATTACCTGTTAATCACCGTTCAAGGGTTTTTGCAGAATGTCAGATAGGCCTATATGCATAAACACATGCAGGCCAAAATATAAATATGTCTCATATTTGTATGCAAAAACTTTCAGAGCGAAATGCTGTCTCCGTTTGACGCCAAATTTAGCATGAACTTTAAGTAATGTATATCTCTGATGTGGTTTTAAATAGACTCACACATGGAACGGCGAGGGAGTGCTCACAGCTCACCTTACATCTCCTTTATTGCAATGTCTGCGTTATTTATGAGGTTAAAGGGTGCTGTCACGTGCAGAACCCGGCTAAGAATGATGTCTTATCTTTTTTTTATTCAGTTTTTGCACATAGCATAGGGTAGTTGATGCATAACATGTCCATTAGACTTTTCAAATGACATCATGATATAAATCTATATGGGAAAGTATACATTTTAGATTTTAAAACATACTTGTATGTTGCATTTATTATGAATGGTTCATCCATGCACATCATCTTTTTTTTTTTATTCATGTGTCCTGTAATCTTTAATCAAAATAACCTCCCTCCCTCTTGCAGCAAAATCTCTTCTCTGATGAAGTGAGGGTTGGACAACCTGTCACGTTGGCTTTATAATTAATTATGAATAAATGTGAAAGATATAATTCAACATAAGTTAAGTGATAAGTGTTAACTTTTAGTTGGCTTTCAGCATGTCACACTGCAGGACGTGTCAGATTTCCCAAATAATTTAGTGCCCATTGATGCTATTTTAAAGGTTCCTAATGTTGTTTTGGAGTCGCCTATAATGTTTACATGCATCCAATGTCAAAAAACACATTAATGTTCCCATACACATCACCTAGTTTGTCAGAGAGTCTGAAAACAGTTATTCACAGATTCAGTCTTTTTAAACCCCTCCTTTCTACGAGTCTACTCTGCTCTGATTGGCCAGACGGCCCAATCTGTTGTGATTGGTCTACAGCTAATAGTGTGTCAGAAACAAAACAACTACCTGAGTGACAGTTCGGAGGCTTCCTCATCTCTTGATACACACAGTGATATGAACATGAACGATGGTGTCGGTTTTTTCCTTATCAATTTCAGCGCAAGTCCTTTTGAAGTGCATGCAAAGTGGATTGGGAGTGCTTAAAATAGCGTCTTCTAGACACCACAAAACAAACTCTTCCAGTCTCAGCTACAACGACAGTGTTTGAGAGCGGGTCGAAGTAGATGTTGTTCACAGGCAACCAATGAAGACCATCGGCTGGCATTATGCAAATTTGTTACATTGTTGTAGGTTTGTAACAGGAAGTGAGACTGGAATTACTGACGACTCATTTCGGCAGTTTAGACAATAACTTTATTTGTCGTGCACTTTGATCTTTAAAACATTGCAGACATTTTACATTCACAAAAAGCTATATTACACACCGCATGAAAGCTAAAATTCGACAAAGCATAATAGGGGTGCTTTAAAACTAACAACCCATATCTTAAAAAGGCAACTCTGAAGACTCTTTCATGTGATGAAGTAGCGGTGCATGACCAGATTAAACACACTATATATATTTGCAGTGTTCAGGGAAAAGGAGCAGAAGGTTGTAAAGAGCTGCTGGAAGCCTTTGAGGCGTGTGTGAAGGGAGCCACGGCGGCCTCGTGAGGGGGACATCATTTTACATGTAAGTATTTATTATGGTTTAGTTTAACTTGTATACTCTTTGAAATTTATCTGCAGTACTTGATCATTTTATTCGTATCACACAGAGTATTTCATTACAATAGTATTGTGAAATGATAATGTCTTCTGCCTGGACAAATGAATTGATTTGTCCATTCTGATTTTCTTCTGCTATTTTTAACTAAGGTCCTTCCTTTCTGGGTCCTCCAGTGTCCTTGCATTCCCTCACATTGTACTGGACTAAACCATTATAAGGACAGTGAAAGGGGTGCAAGTCCTGGAAAGCAATGGAACTGTTTATTTTGATCCTGAGAAGTCTTTCTCGGTGTCCCTCATGTCGTCCATGTTATTTGTAACTGTGAAAGAAAGAAGTACCCAGTTTTTATTTTGTTCAAATTTACACTGTGAAAAAGCATAATGCATTTCATCTGATTTTGAATAAATTACTATAATTGTTTATTTATTTTACCATTATTCTCACACACTCAGAGGTATACAACAGTGATAAAATAACTGACACTAAATGTCTGAACTGTATGCAGTGATTGATTTACCTTGAACTGCAGTGGTCTGCTTACTTGATAACTCATGCCAAGTACACTGCAGTGCTGCTCATTCAGTGTAAGTGCCACTGACTGTCAGCACTATCTATTGAAGAAATTCTAAAGGTGCTGACAAAACAAATTATGCTGTTGCCATGTAGTTTTTATGGTATACTGCAAGCTAGGACCTATGTAAAATTAGAAAAAGATTCACACAAAAAAAAAATGTAATTTGTATAACTGACACATCATGATTGTGACAGCACAATTACATAAAATAAAAATAATAAACTCAACAGAGCCTGTGTGACCTTGTTTAACTCTTAACAGGTGAAGTATAATACAATTTTGATATTGCCTGATTTGTTATTTTTATCTTGAATATTGACCAGAAGATGCATACACTTATAGAAAAGGTAAATTTCAAAACCTTTTTAAAAACAAAAAAAGTATTTTCATGTAAAAAAAAAATTATTTCCATGACCTATACCATATTTTTGGAGATGTTCTAAGAACAAAAACATGTTTTAAGAACGTTAAAAAAGGCCTATTTTTAAAACGGTTTTAAATTTTTTAAAAAGGTTCTATTTTCATTATCATTTTGCAAACGCTACGGAAACATTACTTTTAAAAGTTTCCTTTAGGGAATGTTCTTTTTTCGTTTTGTTTTCTAGTTTGTTCTATTTTCATTTTCATTTTGCAAACGCCACGGGAACATTACTTTTAAACGTTTTCTGAACGTTCTGATACAAGTAGGCTAGTTAAATATTAGTCAAACGTTCAACTAAAACGTTTCAGAAAAAAATGATGTGTAAATGTTTTTGTGCTAACATTTTGAGAACATTATTAAAGGGATAATTCAACCAAAAATGACCTTTGTTCATTTTCGGAGTATTGGCCTGCTCCTGCCCCAGCATCACCGTGTTGGTCACGTGAACAGCGTCAGAGACGCACATGGAAGTGCAGAAATGGTTGAATACATTTGTTAGGATTTTTTTGCACAAAAAAGAATTCTCTTTGTAATATTAAGATTAAACCACTGAAGTCACATGGACTATTTTAACGATGTCTTTACTACCTTTCTGGACCTTGAAAGTGGTAATAACGTTACAGTCAGAAAGCTCTCGGATTTCAGCAAAAATATCTTAATTTGTGTTCCGGAAATGAACGAAGGTCTTACGGGTTTATTAGACGACAATATGGTGAGTAGGGTAATTAATGACAAGATTTTCATTTTTGGGCGAACCTTTACAGACCAGACAACTTTGAACTAACATTCTATTAACGTCACTTAAAGAATGTTTTTTAATAACATTTGAGAGAGAACCTTGACAGAACGCGAGCCAAAAGTCCCGAGAACATTCCAGGAACAATGATACCACAGCGTTCTTTGGAGTCCTATAAAGGCTATTTGATCAATTTGGTTTGTTTGTTCTGTTGTTAAACTAACCTTTCACAGCACTATATTGTTGCCCTTTTGTTGACTTGATTGCTTATCTCCTCTTTTGTAAGTCGCGCGCTTTGGATAAAACCGTATATGCTAAAAAAAATAGAGAAAAAGAAAAGGCCTATGTAGCCTACACAGTGCAACATATAAAATGAAGCCTACAGTCTTAAAAATAAAGGTTCCAAAAGCGGATTTTTTGGTTCCTCAACGCCTGTCTGTTAACAGTTCTTAAAATATATATATTTTTAGAATATTTTAAAAATCCAAAGACCCTTACTTTAAGAGAGTAATTGATACCATGACTGTACCGCTGTGGTACATTTTTTTCTGTAATGTCCAGATCTGTAGCGAGAGGTGCAGTGGGGGAGTGTGTTGAGAGGGAGGGTTGATGATGATGAGGAGGAGGAGGAGGGTGTGGGACCCGGATGCTGATGCGAGGAGCCAGAACGGAGAAAATAACGCTTTACAACGCAAATACCGTCAAGACACACAAGATATCAGCGATCAGTGCGCAACGTATACATTTGCATCAAAAACATCAAATCCCTTCCCCAAAAGTGTCTAGCGGGCGCGAGCGTGCGCGGGACCGGCGCAGAAGAGAAGGATGAGGATGCTGCGGTCTGAGCTCAACATCAGCAGCACAGAAGAAACAGATCGGGTAGATCCGCTACAGTGATGCGAGAGCAAGCTGGATCTCCTCACAGTGACATACACGATCGGACTTGAGTTTTGGGCTATGCTGCTAAATATGAATCGGGATTATATTTACCTGTTTGTCTAACAGTAAATGGTAAGATTCTGGTTCCTTTACCTGTGATTCAGGCCTAGCATAAGTGTACTGAAGGCTTGAGTCCACTTATATTGTATATATACAGTAGTATACACTAGTAAGGAGGACTTTCTAAATGGTGTTTGTTATGAGGCGATGGCCAGCTGGTAGATACATCTAGAAACACCGATCATAAGTCTACTAACAGCAGCTTATCAATACTGCACCTGGCTCTCTGTCATGGCATGCGCTGTGAATTAGAAGTCTGAGAAGGGTGACTTTGATTGGCAAAGCTACGAATTAGGCTGCTTTTATGGACCTAACTCTTATCTTTACATTGACATCTGTATCTTTCCACTCTGTTACATACATGACTCACAGACGGTACAAGTCTGAAAGATTTCAGAATAATTAACAGGCCCGTGTGACTGTTGCCGAGACAGATTTTAGGGAATCCCAAGCTCAGCATGGATATATTTCCGGGTTGTTGCAGACCCCTGCAAGACTATTGTAGAAAAACTCAGCTCAGAAACAGTACGCTGTGATAATATTGCATGCAGTAGCAAGTTTAACAGGAGCCAGGCCGCCACTATGTCAAAGGAACTGTCAGTGACCCAGACAGCTCAGTATGTGGGGCCGTATCGACTCGAAAAGACTCTCGGGAAGGGCCAGACAGGTAAGGAGACGTCGTTTTCGTCTGTAATTTCTGTTGTTTTCAAAGCAGTCATCGCTGATGAATTGTCTGGTGAATGTCAATAGGTCTGGTGAAGCTTGGGATTCACTGCATCACTAGTCAAAAAGTAGCCATCAAAATAGTCAACCGAGAAAAGCTCTCAGAATCTGTGTTGATGAAGGTAAGGAAACAGTAATATTGTACTTTTTATTGCTGTAGTTTTCACAGTGTCACACATGTCACTACTACTAATAATTCATTTCAATTTAAATTCATATTCAATTTAAATGATAATATTCTACCTGTTAAAAGTATTATGTTTTACCATGGTGCAGTGATGGTATCAGATACTATGGTATACTGCATGATTATCATATTCCAGTGCTATTTTAGTATCGTTGAGATACCATTATAGGTTTTATTAATAATTAGAATTCGTTTTTCATTTTTACATTTGGCAAATTTATTTTTATTTTAGTTCAAGTTTTAGTAATTTAGTTGTTTTTGCCATTTTATTAGCTGTTTTAAAATATGTTTCAAATTTTAGTTATTTCAGATTTTTATTTCAAGTTACGTTTCAAGTAAAAACGTTTTTTTTTATGGTTTTAGTTTTGGTTAATTATATTTACGCATGTACGTCATGTACTATGGTATTAACATGCCTTTCCAAGGCCAAAAATCATAGTATTACCATGGTACATGTATCAAAACATAGGGACACCCTGGTACTTTTTGGTATGTTTTTGCTAATGAAAAGCTACTTTATTGTGCTTCAGAATTTGCTATTTATAAAGAATTTATGTTTTCATTCAACCAGGTGGAGAGAGAAATTGCTATATTAAAACTGATCGAACATCCACACGTGTTGAAACTTCATGATGTTTATGAGAATAACAAATACCTGTGAGTTAGAACCCTTTCACATGAATTCTTATAGGCTTCACTCAGAACACATGGTTCTTTCTGCTTGTCATTTGTCCCTTCTTAAAACCTGTCCTCCACATTCATGCAGGTATTTGGTATTGGAGCATGTTTCTGGTGGAGAGCTGTTTGACTATTTGGTGAAGAAGGGCCGACTGACGCCTAAAGAGGCACGGAAGTTCTTCAGACAAATCATATCTGCTTTGGACTTCTGTCACAGTCACTCCATATGGTAAGACACAAATGGGCATACTCACACATACACAAATAATATAAATAAGAACGATAAATAAAATACAACAGTGCCCTGGGGTGAAGCCATTTCATTTTTTTTTCTCCTAATATTTTGTTAGCTCGTGAACATATTTTTCCGTTTTGTTGAAGGTATGTGCAAAATGGTCTCACATTGACTGCATCACAAATGATGAGATTTGTTTGTTTACTCACATTGTATTTCCAAAATCATACTGTATTAAAAGCAAAGATAATACAGGAAAATACACCATTTACTGGTGGTTATTTTGAATAGGTTTTCAATCGTATTTGAATATGGTGACAAAAGTACTTGCATATGGCCTTTTGCCCCAAGCTGTTTTGAACCAAAACCTTCTTTTTCATTTCCTTTGTCATAAATTATCCTGCTCCTTCAATATTCAATAAAATAGATATAATTTAGGTTATTATAATGCTAAATGCAAATTAATAAAAACTAAAAGGAAAGTGCCCCTATTATGCTTTTTCGAATATACCTTTCATGCAGTGAAGCTGTTTGTGAATGTAAAATCTCTGTAACGTTTTAACGATCAAAGTGCACGACAAATAAAGTTATTAGTCTCCAAAAAGAAAGAATCGATTCTAAACTGCCGGAACGAGTCGTCAGTAATTCCAGTCTCACTTCCTGTTACAAACCTACGTAACAATGAAACAAATTTGCATAATGCCAGCCTGTGATCTTCATTGGCTGCCTGCGAACAACTTCTATTTTGATCCTCAAACACCGTCGTTGTAGCTGAGACTAGTGATGTTAAGTCTGACACCGACGCTCCGAAGCTTGCTTCAAACTCGAACGGTCCTTGCAATGAACCACTGCTTCGGAGCTTGTATCATTACGTCATTAGTCACGTGAAAATGACGTCTGAAGCAAACACACTGCTTCACTCCTGTAGTGAACCACCTGACTGCTTTGACAGCCCAATCCAGTGTTGACAGGTTCGAAACCTGGCGGCTGTATTTCTTATAAAAGTGAAGCCAAACCATGGCAACACCGTGGGTTGTTGTAGTCGGTGTTTGGATTGGTGTTATTGTTGAGGAGAGTGGATTGAGTTTATGGTTTACTGGGCTGCCCACAAAGCAATATATCCTCATTTATACCAGCTTTCTAAACTGTTTTTGTGTACTCCTGCATCATCTGTTCCATGCGAGAGGATATTCTCTAAAGCTGGTGAAATTGTTTAAAAAAAAAGAAATCGCCTTTCACCAAAGACTGTGGAGAAAATAATATTTCTGAATAAAAACCATACCATTTAATGAACACTTTGTATAAGCCTTCTGTATGATGTAGCCTACCTAAAGCACACCTTCTGACACATTTTATTATTATTATTAATTTGAGAACATATGAACATTGTTACATAAAATATGCATCAAAGACAGAAACTTCAAAAACTCTCTGCTACATTATACAAGCACAACCAGTTACACAAGCACATCCTTTTCAACATACAAAAATAACAGTCCCACCAGTTAACAAGTTATAGAGTTCTGCTTCCCACAGCTAAACAAGATAAAGCTTTCACACATGATAGGCTACTGCCCTGCTAAAAAAAACTATAGACACCATTACAGAAATTCTATTGGATTTAATGGTTTTCATGGGAATTTTATTGGTTATAATGGAAATTATAGTGGTGTCTGTGGGTCTCTACTGATTATGTGTTGGGTTCTATTGGTGGGGGCATTAAATCCTAATGGAATATGTGCCAAACACACTACAAAAAGAATTCTGTAGTGGTTTAAATGGTAAAAGCCAGTTTAATAGAAACCATTAGAATTTCTGTGATGGTTTCCAACTTTTTTTAAGCTGGTCTGATCTTCTGTCCTTGTCTAAAGAAATAATTACACACACACACATCATGCTTAATGTTTTATTATCAAGGTGAACACATGAAATTCATCAGTATCTGTAAAATTCACCTACATAAATGAGTTTCACAGCTGTTTCAGCTTTGATCGCCTCGGTAAACACGTCATAAACGGGGCGTTAACATAAGCCTACTGGCATTTTATGGTTGTCAGCTTTGTTGCATTACATTTACTTCACCAGGAGATGGTGCTGCAATTTCTATCTGAATGAAGCTTCGAGTAATGAACCATTTTCGACACAATTGTATCGGAAAGCAATAATGCTTCGAAACGCTTCATTTGGCCATAACTAGCTGAGACTGGAAGAGTTTGGTTCATGTTGCAGTTCAGGTTTTCGGTGCGGCGAATCCGCATTGCATGCATTTCAAAAGGAAGAGGACTCGCACTATAATCTATGTGGAAAAACCGACACCATCATTATTTTTTGTATCACTGTGTATCAAAAGCTGTTTGGTAATGGACGTTTCGTTTCTGACATGCACCGTAAGCTGTCGACCAATCACAACAGACTGGGCCGTCTGACCAATCAGAGCAGAGTAGGCTCTCGGAAAGGAGGGGTTTAGAGAGACTGAATCTTTGAATGAACCGTTTTCAGACTCTTTGAGAAATGAGGTGATGTGCAATATATAATATGAGACAAAGTGTTTTCTGACATTGGATGCATGTAAACCTATTGTAGGATACTCCAAAACAACATTAGGAACCTTTAAAATAGCATAATTGGGGCACTATAAAGTGAAACATATAAAAATATAAAGAACATATAAAAATAAAATCAAAAAGTGGTTTGATAATGTATATCGACAAAGGTTATTTTTCAACATGTTTTTAGTCACTCATTTCCATATGTGGTGGTTGTAGCTCTAGTCTCAAAGTTGAGCAGATACATGTGTACGCCTCTATAAAGACAAGGGTGAGTGAAGTATTAATGTTTCGGAATATTTTGTACCCTGAGCTGTATTTTTCTGTGGAGGGTTGTTGGTGTGTGACGTGTTCAGAGCCGCTTGTCCTCTGTGCTCTTGTAGTCATAGAGACCTAAAGCCAGAAAACCTTCTGCTGGATGAGAGGAACAATATCAGGATTGCAGACTTTGGCATGGCCTCACTACAGGTGGGAGACAGTCTGCTAGAGACAAGCTGTGGGTGAGTATTTTCTGTATGTGCGTGTGGTTTGTAATACTGTTGCTTGCTTTATTGCACATTGCAATAGTAGCTATATGGTTTATGACATGACAAAATTGTATGTCCAGCCTTGTTAAAGTACACGATGAAAATAATTGTTAGCAAATGCCTCTTGGTTTAATGTTTTGTCATCTAATGCAATGACATTCATACATTTAAAATTTTAAAAGTGCAGTAAAACCACCCTCTAAAACTCACTTGTATATCAAAAGAGACTACAAAAAGACAAAATATGATCATGTTGATCCACATCGAAAGATGGTAGTACATCGTCGAACACATTGTGGTAGCGGTAAAGTACACGAAAAGCATTATAATGATTGCCAAAGAACGAATGCACCTTTAAAATATCATCAAATTAAGTGTTGAATAGGGTTACTGTAAACACACTTGTTCACTTAGCTTAGGCATATTTTTTTTTTGCAGTAGGATAGAACTCGATAAATGAATTTGTTCAATAGGCTAATATAAAGTAGTTTTATATAGCCCAATCTAGCAACTAGAGAAGTAGGTTAGATTTATTCATGACAAACTTTGAAGTTGGCTTGACAAAGGCGTGTTCAATTAAAAGTTGTAAATATTTTTTTAAAGTTTGATGTTTAAATAGATAGCCTACAGAAAAACAGCCAGTTAGCGAGCTAGGCATGATAGCATTAATTATAATATGTAAAGCATTAACATAGCATGCTACTAGTTATTATTAACATGTTTAAGCACGTAATTTAGCATCTTTAACGTGTTTCTAGAAGTTGTTAGCATGTTTCTAGTATGTTTTAGCTCGTTTTTAGAATCTGCTAAAATAATCTGTTCATGCTTTAACTTGTAGTTAGCATTTTTGTAGCATGTTGCTAGCATGATTTAACATTTTGCTAGCAGGTTTGAACACATAACATGTTTTAACATGTTGCTAGAATGTTTTAGCTCATAGCTAGCATGGTGTTACTATATATTTAGCATGTTGCTAGCATTTTTAGCATGTTGCTAACATTTGTAACACCTTGCAAGCATGTTGCTTAGATTAGCCTGTTGTGTTAAATTAGTAGATTTAAAACATTGCTTGCGTGTTTCTAGCATGTTTAATCACACTAAGTCAGAACAGCCTGAAAGTCTGTGCAGAGTTGTAGTTTGAAAGGCAGGGTTGCCAGATCTGAGTAACAAAACTAGCCCAATGGCCAATCAAAAATATCCCAAAAGTTGCCTAATGACCATATCCCAAATCAAATCTCAAAATGTTGCCATTTTTATACTTAGTGATCATAAACACAGCTCAAAAAGTCTCCCTACCAGAGGCCCTCCTTAAGAAAACTTAACACTTTACACTGGTTGAATATAATCCAATACAAGCATTTCAGTCAAATACAATTTATGCAATATGTCAAACCTTTAAACCACGGGGGGAAATCAACATGTGAAAACCGTGAACTTGGCAACCCTGGATCTAGGCTGCATTAATTTTAGAAATTTGGGGCCAGATTTACTAACAGCGTGCGCCAGCACAAACCCTCTTTTGGCATTGAAAAACTACTGTCAGGATTTACTAAAGATAAGACACGCAGTGAAATATTAGCACTGACAAGGCATGAGCAGGGTTATTTTTTACGGCTGACCTTATTGTATATACATTTGTAGGAGTTTCCCTTTCAGACACAAAATTTATAGGAGGAGAGTATTTAAATGAATCATGCAAGGTGATTTATTAAGGTTTGTGCTTGTCAATTTACTGGTATTTGCACCATTATTTACCACCGGATGCTAATTTGCGCTGCTCTTGGTAGATTGCGTCGGTCATTATGAAAATGATTCGGCTGCGTCTGTGTTCTTCAATTTCCACATCGTCAGTAGATCACGCGCAGAATTTTCCACTCCTATTTTTGGAATTGCGCTCTCCCGCTAATTTTCCCTGTTTATTAAATCTGGTCCTTTGGACTCGGAGGAAGATGCAGCATTTTATCAAGTCACCATTACTATTCCTTACTCCTTAACTATATTTCAATTCCATTTAAATAAATGCCGCAGAGTTTTTTTGTTTTTTTTGTAAATGAAAATATTTTTTTAAATCTATACCTTCTCACACCCTTCCATACTCTGTTTTTCCCAAACTATTTGCAGATCTCCTCATTATGCATGTCCAGAAGTTATCAGGGTAGGTCCATAGATCCAAAAAGTAACATAGATGTTTTAAAGCATCATTCTGCCTGAAGGTGTACCATTGACCTTACCACCCTCTTTGGCTTCTACTGTAGGGTGAGAAATATGATGGTCGACGGGCTGATGTATGGAGCTGTGGAGTCATTCTCTTCGCTCTGCTAGTGGTGAGGAGGAAATCACTTAAGTTTTAAGGAGAGCTTCTCAGAGGGCATTTTCCTCACTTATCACCTATTACTCATTTTTAGCTCAAAGGTTGTTAAGCAAATAAATGCAACACTACTTGCATGTCACTACCATCTGTGTTTATGTATGTGTGTGTTCCTGTCTGCCGTCCACAGGGCGCTCTGCCCTTCGACCACGATAACCTGCGGCAGCTGCTGGAGAAGGTGAAGAGTGGAGTTTTCCACATGCCCCATTTCATCCCACCCGACTGCCAGGCTCTGCTGCGGGGCATGATCGAGGTCGACCCTGAGAAAAGATTCACGGTGAGGGCGTACTGTGGACTCTGAATAAGCATACTTGTTGTTACACTTGGATGTTTACTTCAATGTAGTGTTGTAGTACTCAAGACTCAAGAAGGTCTTGGTCTTGTCTCGGTCTCGAGTCTCGGCTCGCATGTGATTTGCGGATTAACGGCTAAATTTAACCTTCATAGAGGGAAAGTTTATAATTTGGACGTGTTTCATCTTGCCAATTTACACATTCAAACATTTTTAAAGGTAGGGTATGGGATTTGCAAAACGGCCGGCAGATTTTGAAAATACACAACTCAAAAGGTCCTACCTTCTTTCCTCCAACGCTGGCCCTGACTCCACCCATTCGAAGAACATGGATGCGCAATCATGCACTTACTCTCTCTCTGTACCGGGGCGACTTGAACTTACTGTGACTGGGTCACGAGCTTTGAGTATGTGCACGAAGGGGACACGCGCGCGAGGAGGATGGGGGGTGGGGGGTATGGTACGACCGTTTGATTGACGCACGTACTGTCCAATGATTCTAGGTGGTCTTGGAAATGATTGGCTGGAGTTTTTCGAGTCCTGCCCGTTCCACAGATGATTAAATTGCTTAAAGGATTAGTTCACTTAAAAAAAAAAAAACTTTTGCTGATAATTTACTCACCCCCATGTCATCCAAGATGTCCATGTCTTTCTTTCTTCAGTCGAAAAGAAATTAAGGTTTTTGATGAAAACATTCCAGGATTTTTCTCCATATAATGCACTTTACTGGCTACCAAACGGTTCAAGGTCCAAATGACAGTTTCAGTGCAAACTGCAAACTGTTCAAATGGTTTTAAATGACACCAGACGATGAATAAGGGTCTTATCAAGCGAAACGATCGGTCATTTAAAAAATAAATAACAAAGTTTAAGTTTTATAAGCTCACATGCTCGCCTCGCTCTGTTCTGTGTGACTCTCCTGTTCGACCTCGTTCATCAAAATGAACAAATCTTTTTCCGAGTCAATTCGTTCATTTCGGTCGTTAAATGAATCAAATGACTCGTAAAAAGATTTGTTCATTTTGATGAACGAGTTCGAACAGGAGAGTTACACAGAACAGAGCGAGGCGAGCATGTGAGCTTATAAAACTTAAACTTTGTTATTTATTTTTTAAATGACAGATCGTTTCGCTTGATAAGACCCTTATTCATCGTCTGGAATCGTTTAAAGCCCTTTGAACAGTTTGCAGTTTGCACTGAAACTGTCTTTTGGACCTTGAACCGTTTGGTGCCCAGTAAAGTGCATTATATGGAGAAAAATCCTGGAATGTTTTCATCAAAAACCTTAATTTCTTTTCGACTGAAGAAAGAAAGACATGGACATCTTGGATGACATGGGGGTGAGTAAATTATCAGCAAAAGTTTTTTTTAAAGTGAACTACTCCTTTAATTTCAGTGCTTCTAACTCAGTGGCTGTAAGTGGGTTAGGAATAGGATTTCAAGTGATTTTGAAAAAATGGTCAAAAAAGAAAATCACATACCCCACCTTTAATTGAAGAGAAGAAGAGTCGAAAATCGGGACTCGCGCGTTTTCTGTGCTCACAGCCACACACACGCAGAGAGAGAGAGAGAGAGAGAGAGACGTGCGTTTCAGATAAAGCATTCGAACACTGAATTGATTCCTCTTTCGCGTTTCGGACACATAAACACAAAATTATGTCTAAATGCCCATCTCGGCAAGTATTCTCTCATTTATGTCATAAGTGAACAGTTATACAGTGAACAGTTACCGGATGTTTTTTTAGTCTGTGCAGTCGTTCTTAAAGTGACAGCACACACCTAATATTCCTACTGTTGTCTGTGTCATTAATATAAATAAAACAACAAAATACAGCTTCAACAAAGATGAAACTATATTTAATTTCTACAGTGAACATATATTTTACATTTAGGCTTAATTATTCATTTCTGTACCTGAATACTACTGTTAGATTTTGTAACTTTGTTATTTAGTATTCATCCCTGCTTGTAATTTGTGTATTTGTTTTTTTGGTGTGTTTTTATTTTATTACTGACTGTTCACTTGTTTTAAATAATGTGTGAACTTTTAGGCTAGTAGTTAGGCCAGTAGTTTTTAATGTTGTAGCTATCGAAGAACTTCAAGTGAGCTTTAAGTAATAAATGAAAAGCAAAGTCACCCCCCCCCCCCTCCCCTCCATATATATATAAATTTTTTTGTTCTGATCCGAAAAATGATCCGATCCGTGGCTCAAAAACCGTAAATGATCCGAACCGTGAATTTTGTGATCCATTCCACCACTACTACTGACTAGCCAATAAAAGTGCACCATGAAATGGCGTATTGATCAACGCGACATGGCACTCTACTTACCTCAAGCTCCATTTGCTTTTCCCTAGCCATGACCGTGTCTATATTCTCCTCTTTCACTTCCTCCTTTTTTTTTCAGTGCACATAAAAACCACAATTGCAAAGTGCGATTAATCTTGCTCTATGTGTTTACCACTGGCACATGCTGATGACGTTTTATTCTTCTATACTAACTTGCGTCGTAGCCTATAATTTAATGGGTGTCATGATTGCACAGTCTACATACATGCCGTAACCAAATTTATTAGATCCATGTCGTACAAGGTGATTTTATAGTATTGCCGAAATCGCACAGTCTGTAGCCGGCATGAGAGGGCTGGGGATTTTATCTCAAGACCGATCAAGACAACAACTGCGAGGGTATTACTAAATTGGCGGTGCATTGCCTGATCATTAATGTGATTGGATGTAAAACTTCCTTCTTCAAATGCAATCAATAACTTATTTCTAATTTGATTTCTTTTTGTTACTGTTGTGCCTGGTCAGAAATGAATGGAGGATTGTGTCAAAATGTCACCAAAATTAATACAAATGGCCACAAAATTCAAGATATGATTGTGAAAAAGTACTCGTATGAGATCTTGATTTTTATGAATAACATTTAATAATAAATGTGATATTTATTTTATAGAAATGTTCAATTCAATTATTTATGCAGTTGTAATTGTACCAATTCAGACACCTCTGCAGTGCAACGATGAGCTTTGTTGTTTTGGTATCAACACACACTGCTCTTGGTCTTGACTTGGTCTCGGTTTAAGTGGTCTTCACTACAACACTACTCGAGTTATAGCGCCATCTGCCTGTCAGCAGATTACACTATTTACACCATCTGTTGTCCTTCCCCTGCAGCTAGAGGCCATCCAGACACATGCCTGGTATCAGTGAGTATTGATTATTTATATTATTGATTATTTATACTCTTACTATCACTGTAGTTAAGATGTAGTGAAAGCATATTATTTGTGTGTTTATGGCTGTATTTTATGAATAGATCTCTATTTCTATTAAAATGATTTCAGCCTGTGTCTTTCACAACTGGCAATATCGCAGATGATTTGTGCAGGCAGCTCACGTTGGTTTGTGTGTGTGTGTGATCAAGAGCTGGACGCAATGAGCCGTGTCCGGAGCAGCCGCCCCCGAGGCGTGTGTGTATGGGCCGGATCATGTCTCTGACAGAGCTGGACCCGGATGTGCTGGACAGCATGTATTCTCTGGGCTGTTTCAGGGACCGGGTTAAACTGGCCCAAGACCTGCAGTGTGAAGAGTGAGTGCAAGTACCATGCACATTTTCGCCAGAAAACTACTTAATGTTTAACATTTTCATTATTTATCTCGCTCCTTTCCTCAGAGATAACCAAGAGAAGATGATCTATTATCTCCTGTTAGACCGTAAAGAGCGCTATCCCAGCTATGAGGACGAGGATCTTCCTCCAAGAAATGAAATCGGTTTGTGTCTTTTCCCCTCGATTGTTCATTTACACAGTTAAACGAAGGGTTTTTGACAGTTTAACTAATGGTTTAACAGTTACAGGTACTCATGTGAAACCATGCGGCCATTTACATTTATACATTTGGCAGATGCTTTTATCCAAAGCAAATTACTGTATTTTCCGGAATACATCTGAAATCTGTTGCGACTTATTTTCCGAAGTGACTTAAAGTGCCCCTATTATGCTACTTTCAAGGCTCCTAATTTTGTTTTGGATGTCTCCTACAGGGGTTTTACATGAATCAAAGGTAAAAAAAAAACCCCTAATTTTCTCATAATATACATTGCACCACATCCACCTTAAGTGGATTCGCAGTGCTGAAAACAGCGTCTTCTCGACATGTAGACAGCACAAACCAAACCTTCCAGTCTCAGCTACAACTACAGTGTTTACGAGTGTCAAAGTAGACGTTGTTCACGGACAGCCAATGAAGACCATAGGCTGGGATTTTTTACTTTGTCACGTAGGTTTGTAACAGGAAGTGAGAGTGGAATTACTTACGACTCGTTTCAGCAGTTCAGAATCTATTCTTTCCTTTAAAAGCCAGTTGCACTTGTGCCATGGCGGATTCGCTATTTACATGACGTAATTTGCAAATGGAAAAACTGAACGCGTCTCCAGAGAGCAAATGGATCTGCTCGTGCGCGAGGTTAAAGGGATACTCCACTTTTTTTGGAAATAGGCTCATTTTACAACTCCCCCTGAGTTAAACTGTTGAGTTTACCGTTTTTGAATCCATTCAGCCGATCTCCGGTTCTGGCGGTACCACTTTTAGCATAGCTTAGCATACATCATTGAAGTGGACAAGACCATTAGCATTTCTCAAAAAAAAATGACCAAAGAGTTTCGATATTTTTCCTATTTAAAACTTGACTCTTCTGTAGTTACATCGTGCACTAAGACCGACGGAAAATGTAAAGTTGCGATTTTCTAGGCTGATATGGCTAGGAACTATACTCTCATTCCTGCGTAATAATCAAGAAACTTTACTGCAGTACCATGAGTGCAGCAGGCGTAATGATATGACGCAGCGCCTGAAAATAGTTCCGTTGTGTTGACGGAAGGTGGCCTATTTTCAGGTGCTGCGTCATATCATTACGCCTGCTGCACTCATGGTACGGCAGTAAAGTTTCTTGATTATTACGATGTACGATGTAACTACAGAAGAGTCAAGTTTTAAATAGGAAAAATATCGAAACTCTTTGGTCATTTTTTTCGAGAAATGCTAATGGTCTTGTCCACTTCAATGATGTATGCTAAGCTATGCTAAAAGTGGTACCGCCAGAACCGGAGATCGGCTGAATGGATTCAAAAACGGTACAACTCAACAGTTTAACTCTGGGGGAGTTGTAAAATGAGCCTATTTCCAAAAAAAGTGGAGTATCCCTTTAAAGCGTGCGAGCGGACCGTCTACAGGACAAGCCGGATTCCACCACATCTTTATGTACACAATATTAATCTTTTACATTGTAATCCTTTTATTTTTAATATTTGGCTGGTTTGTGTGCTGCTGTGTGTGTAATAAGCAGAGTGTACATGTGTTGTGGACCCGCCTATAGGTGCACATTACTAACACACTCTTTAAATTAAAAATATATATATTGCGCCATTGACTTTAGACCAGGTTTTGGTTGGTCAATGGCGCAGTCTATTTCAGTTGCCTCAAAATAGCAACGCGGCAACAATGCGCCTGAACAAGCCTCGTTTTCAGACCAGCAGTCCATGGGCGCACAAAGCGGCGCAAATGCATTTGCTATTTAAAGCAGCACTCAGTAAGAATTCCGTTTTTGTCAAACAGCGACCCCTAGAGTCGCTGTGGAGCACTTGTACTGTCGTGAATAGCACTCACGCAGAGATGGCTCGCACTCACGGCCGGATCCCCTCCCCCTGTACACCGGTACCTGTTCAGTAGGATGGACGCTGTAACGAGTGGAAATAAGGTATGGCCCCTTTAAGAGCTGCGCACGCCCAACACCACATGTATACGGCGCCGGGTTATTTCTGTTTGATGCTCATTTTATCAGAATTTTATCAGATCTGTTTTTTTGCTGTAAAGCAATTCGTTACCTCGCGAGACCTGATATCACACGATACTTCCTAACACTCAGGCCGGCGGCTCAAAAGTTGCAAGGGTGGTTTTGCGGCTCACAGGCACCAGGGGGGTGCGAGACGACCACCATTCAACACGAAATCAGTAATATAAACATTACAATGACTCCAAAGCTGTTCGGTTAAGGTAAAAAAGTTACTTAGTTCACCTTTAAACAACGTGGCGCAGGACGTGAAAATGATAACTGCGTCAGGCTGAAACTAGCAAAAAACACTTGCGCCACGCTTGCCGCTGCATTGCGCCGGGCGTATGATAGGGCCCAATAACTTTATTTTTCATGCACTTTTATCTTTAAAACTTTGCAGACATTTTACATTCACAAACAGTTACATTACACACCGCATGAAAGCTAATATTCGAAAAAGCATAACAGGGGCGCTTTAAATAACGCAATTAACATCAAGAACGCAAAGTGCACACGACTTAACTTGACATCGCAGCCTATGCATCATCAAACTTAAATGCAGTCAGCCAAACATAAAAAGTTAAAGAGCTCAATTTATCTTTATTTAACATGTACATTTTTCATTCTTCTTCTGTATACTGTTACATTTGAAGGATTTTTTGTGGAGTGAGCGGAACGAAAAACGTTTACAGTGTTTATAATGTTTGTAAACGTTTCGTTTAATTTACAAGTATTTTACAATATTTCTGAATGTAATGATAAAATGTGACTTATGTTTGTTTTTTTTGTTTTCAACAATGCAATTGGATCCGGTGCGCCTTTTCCGGAAATTACAGTGCATTGCATTCATGGTATACATTTTATCAGTTTTCCTGGTAGTTGAACCCACAGCCTTGGCATTGCTAGCGCCATACTCTGCTGTTTGAGCTACAGGCAAACTGCGAACGTTTTGTCTTTCTACATAGACCCTCCACGGAAGCGTGTAGACTCACCCATGCTAACCCGTCACGGCCGCTGCCGGCCCGAACGGAAGAGTCTGGAGGTGCTGAGTGTGACGGAGCAGGGCTCTCCAACACCCCCACGCAGAGCGCTGGACACCTCCACGCACAGCCAAAGGTACACACACACACACACTCATATACATGCTTTAATGCACATATGGAGCTTTGTAAATATTGATTTAGCTCTATTGACTCTTGACCACAGATCTCGATCTGTTAGTGGAGCATCAACTGGCCTTTCTTCTAGTCCTCTGAGTAGTCCCAGGGTAAGTGCCTGTTTGCCAACCTTTTTCTATTTAAGGGATTGTTCACCAAACATGACAATTCGATCATAATTTAGTCACTCACCCTTATATTGTTATTATGAATACAAACAGATTTACTCAGCAGCAGTGTTGACAAAAATATAATTTTCCCGATACATTGATTGATACTGAAATATTTGCAATGGTTTCGATACTCATTTTCTGCAGACAGTCTCTCTTCTAGTATAAGTATAAGTATATAGTTTGTTGCACTGTGTGTTTAAGAGCAAAGCACAGCACTGTATTCTTACATGCTAGCAGGTTATGATGCAATGTTTTTTAAGCGTCTCAGAGCGACTCGATTCACTATAAATGCAGCAAACTCTACATGCGTTTGGGAACGCAACATGTGCCGGTTATGCTTTTCTCAATCGCATAATCTCCAACATTTTTTGTGGACAGATGATTGCAGCATTTCACTAGATTTGTAATGAGATGCGTTTGTAAACCTGTTGTCACAAAAATGTTTCCCTAAAGTTTTTTGCCCAAATAAAAGCCTGAGTGTTCAACACTTGCAAGTGAAGATATCAAGACAAGTATTTTAATTTTACTTCTGCAGTGTAAAGTAAAATAATTAATGTACTTTTTATGAAATATAATTTTTTTTATTTTACAGTGCAGTTGTATTACAATAGTAATATGTTTAATAATAATAATAATAATAATAATATATAATTGTTTTTATCATGTAATCCCATTCAGAGCTATCAGGCCTGAGTGATCTCAAACAGCCAGCTTCAGTTGATAAGAAAATACTTTGTTTGTGGCCAAAAGTAAATTAACTTAGTGTTCCAATTTTATGCCCTTAATGTTGTGGCTTTTTTTTGAAAATGGTATTGAATATTGATATTTTCCAAGGTATTGAATCGAAGTTAGAAATTGTTCAAAAAAAAAAAAAAAAAATACACATATGAGTCTACCGGTATATGAATTGTGTATTCGATTTTAAGTCTTCTAAAGTCCCATAATAGCCTCGTGTGAGCAACAGACTAATTTTGTAAGGCTTTACAATAAGGTTTTGTTTAACATTAGTTAACTACATTAGTTAACATGAACTAACAATGAAAAATACTTCTAAAGCATATATTAATGTTAATTTCAACATTTACTAATATATTACAATCAAAAGAGCTATCTATTAATATTATTTAATGGATCTGAGCTAACATTAACACTGAACAGTTGTATTAACTAATGTTAACAAAGATTAATATAAAACTGTTGTTTGTTGTTAGTCAATGCATTAAACAACTAATGGGACTTTATTTGAAAGTTTAGATTTATACATTCACTTTTTTTTTTACATTTTTGGATGACCTATGCCTTGAGTTAGTATTTTGTTTGTCATTTTTCCAAAAGGGCTTCTTATATCTTTATGACACAAGTTGAATATTTATCCATTTTATCATTCACATTTTCTGAACCGAGTTAATATGAACCGTGCACATCAGTCAGTCTTAGACACACACACACACACACACACACACGTCCCCATACACCATCACTGTGCACTAATCCGTATCACCTGCCATTGCTCATTTTCACTCCTGTTTCTCTCTCCATCTGCCACGGCCTTCACTCCTCCACCCGATTCTTCTCCTCCTCATCCCATCAGAGCCCTGTCTTTACCTTCAGCGAGCCAGAGGTAGTTGCCGCCGCCACCAAAGCGGGAAGCGGCAGCACCGTCACTCGTCCCAATCGATCGCATGAACCCAAAACGCAGACGCTTCCATCTAAAAATGCACCTGAACGCCCCCAACTCCAGTCCATGAAGTCCCTCCCCCTGCCCGCCTCCACTTCCCGCTCTCCCTCCCCTTCTCCCCTCTTGTCACCCATTCCCCGTTTCCTCTTCTTTCCTTCTCCATCTGCGGTGCTGAAGTCGGTGACTAAAAGCTTGTATCCCATGTCTCAGGTCACCCCTCAGGGCTCTCCCCTGCCAACCCCCCTGGGTACCCCTGTGCATCACCCCCACCCCCCCACCGCTACCCCACCCTCCTCCTCCTCTTCCTCTTCTTCCTCCCGAGCCGAGGGAGGAAATGTGGGCGTGGGCTCACTCTCCTTGACCCCACCCTCTAGTCCAGGGGGAGGCGGTGGCATGGCGGCCAGTAGCTCCGCCCACTGGAGGACACGCCTCAACTCACTGAAGAACAACCTGTTGGGGTCGCCGCGGTTCCACCGGCGCAAGCTGCAGGGTGGGTGCAGGCCGCTGTCTTTACGCTTTGAAGTATTTAATCAAGTAGAGTTGGGGTTTTCAAACTTTTTGGTGCCATGGACCCCTAATGACCCATTTCTGGTGATAAATCAAAAATATTATATCTGGAATATATTTACCTTCTACTAAGAAGACACTGTATCTTTTTTCTTCCTATTATTAGAGTACTTTTAGATGTATAAACTTAAAGAAAAATAAAGTTAATAATAAAAGTAATAATAAAATAATTGATTAATCTCATTATTTCTGATCTTGGATACCAGAATGAAACAGTAAAAGTTCAATAATATTTTTTATTTATTTACTTACCCAAATGTATTTCATTTTCTCTGAACTTTTCTGCAGACTCCCTTGCAGCCAGGGTTAATATCATTAACTAACATAATTTTCATTACTTTAAATCAAATAAACATTAACTGCAATAACAATTATATGTAAAAAAAAAAAAATAGTCGTGATTAATCGCATAACATAAAAGTTTGTAAATATATAATATATGCAAAGTATACACACACACATATATATTTACAAATTTTTTATGATATATGCGATTAATCGCGATTAATCGATTTGAGAGCACTAAGAAAAACGTAAATGTATTTTATTTCAGGTAATTATTTTTCAACATTTCTCATTTTCTTTTACTTTAATTTGAACTACTAAAATTACAACTAAATACAATTTTAAATAAATAAATAAAATTAACAATAATAATACTACTAAAAATGACAAACACACAAATTTAAAAAACAAAATGACTGAAACTTTAACAAAAACAATTAAAGTGAAAAAAAAGTAAATATAAAAATGAAATCTAATTCAAAATATTAACAAAATCTATAATATAATAGTATATCAAGGATACTAAAATAACACTGCTTGCGTCCCTCTGGTGGTGCCTGGATCTCAGTTTGAAAACCCCTGAAATATAAAACTGTCAAATAATCTAATTTAGTTAATGTCAGGTTGTATTATGTTTCATTCTTACTCTTACCTTTCCAATAGTGCCAACCACAGAGGACATGTCCAGTTTAACACCAGAATCCAGCCCAGAGTAAGAAACATGTCCCATCCCAGCACATGTATGAAGCCAAGAAGTCTGTCAAAGCATCTACTGTATATTGTCAAAGCGTTTACTGTATATTGCACATTTTATGTTACATTAATTTATTCCCCCAGGGCCACTTATAATGTTAGGTAAAGGTTTTTGTCCTCCAAAAACAGGAATAATTGAGCTATTAACTGTTTTTGCTACTGTTCCTTTAGGTAACACCCACTTTGCATATGAAAAAGAAACAGTTTCATTAAAGCATCTTTATAAAATTCAATTCCCATACATTCTAAATAAGAAGTATAGCAAAAGCTCAATGTCTAACAATCTAACATTCGACAGGGAATATTTTAGTGGCATCCTCCAGATGCTAAACATGAAACGTTTCAGATGTCAACACTCACATTTTGAATAGACGTCACGGTGACTTGTATGTGCTATTGAGAGAAATATATTGACAATTGTAATCTATATTCTTCAGTGTGCTGCATTATTGTGACGAGTTTTACAGCTTTTCCACGTGTCTGTCTGTCTGTGTTTGTGTTCCGGAAGGCTGGCTAAAAGGTCCTGGTTTGGGAATTTCATCAGTTTGGAGAAAGAAGAGCAGATTTTTGTGGTCATCAGAGACAAACCTCTCAGTTCCATTAAAGCTGATATCGTCCATGCCTTCCTCTCTGTGAGTCTACCTGATTTGTGCAGGTTTTTGTCGATGGATTTAACATTTTAATCAAATGTATTACATGACATGAATCAGATTAATCTAAACTAATCACATACACACTACTGTTCAAAAGATTAGTGGTTGTTTAGTTTTTTAAAAGAAGTCTCTTATGCTCATCAAGGCTGCATTTATTTGATCAAAAATACAGTAAAAAAATAATTATTCTGAAATATTATTCAAATTTAAACTAACTATTTTCTATTGTAATATATTTAAAAATGTAATTTATTCATGTGATCGAAGCTGAATTTTCAGCATCATTACTCCAGTCTTCAGTGTCACATGATCATTCAGAAATCACTCTAACACGCTGATTTGCTGCTGCTTTTTTATTATCGGTGTTGAAAACAGCAGCTTAATTCATATTTAATGCCTCCTTGCTGAATAAAGTATTCATTTCTTTAAAATAAATTGAAATTACCCACTCCAAACTTTTAAACAGTATAGTGTATTAATATTTGATTAGGCCAATTCACACTGCATTATTGTGACAAAAAAAGACATTTTTTTAAGACATTTCTACAAGTTAAAAACAAATCAACAAACATCTATAAAATATTATATCCTTGTACAAAATTAACAAATATTTTACCAGTTTGTCACACTTTATCGCCCCTAATAGGTAACATAACAACACTGTTCAAATGAGAACAGTGATGATGTACACACCTAAACGCATCTGTTTTTTTCTTTCTCTCTTGCTTTTGTCTTCAGATTCCCTCCCTCAGTCACAGCGTAATCTCTCAGACGAGTTTCCGAGCAGAATATAAGACTTCTGGAGGTCCGTCTGTCTTCCAGAAGCCTGTCAAATTCCAGGTAGACATCTCCTTCTCTGAGGGGGAAAGAGAGCAGGAGCGGGAGAGAGAGAGGGATGGACAGAAGGATTTTGGAATATATAGTGTAACTTTTAGCCTCATATCAGGTAAGAACTGCTTTTTTATGAATGATTAATTGTAATGATTTATTTGCTCATTTCCAGTAAAGTATCAGAGCATTACATTTGTAGTACAGAAACAAAACATGAGATCAAATAGTGTTTAAATCACTCAAGTTTACAACGCCCGGCCGCGACACCAGCGGATAAAGTTTCAGAAGGAGGTAGCATCTGTTTTGCAGCCAGTATAAAAAAAATGTAAGCAAATATTAATATGCTGGTTACTGTTAAATGTAATTTTAATTTTTTACAGTGTATCATTGTAGCAGTATTCTTAAGCAGATATCCTAAATATATATATATAAATATATACTAAATAAAAAAAATGATTTTAATAAAAAGTATGATTATATAAATTATTGTATAAATGTTGTTATGGGAATGGAAATCCATTAGCAAGCAAATCGTTCCTATTAAAACAATTTTTATTTGTTTAGTGAGCACTGAGCAGTATTTTAAATATATATATTTAACTAATTTATATATTCATTAATTTAAATATTTAAAAATGTTCATGACACTTTGATTTTAATAAATAGTATGATTATCTAAATTATTATATACCAAGTTCTGTCATGAAACACTGGTTGAAACTCAAGCTGATTGGTTGATCTGCACCCAATGCGTTCGCTGCTCAACATTTAAACAGCTGGTGAGCGTCACTATAGCAGTTTGCAGCGCGCTTTCACAGTCCCTCTGATACCCTCCTCCTTCCCCAGCTCCACCTGTATAGATCTGCTATGGGTCATTTTATATCTGCTGTTTGTGCAGCAGCAACATGTCATGCTCACAGCAGCAATAACCTACAAAAACAGAAACATCAGCAGCAGCCTAAGCACATCTATTCCACCAAGACCAAGTATATTAACATTGTCATATCCACTACCATGCTAAAAATCTTTCGAAAGTTGACACTTACCTAAAGGATTATAGACCAATTTTCAGTTGGTAAACATGGTGACGTTTTTATGTGGGCGGAGCTTAGGTGGTGGCAGAACGATCCCTCTGGCCGCTTCACTAACGTAAAGTCTCCAAGTTTTGTTAGCTTGTTTTTAACAATGACTGGAGAAAATCCGATTTTATCTTAATGTGCAAGGTCACTCATTGTCCAGGACCGCGATTGTTATTTGCAAAAGTTAATTTTAACGGACGGAACCAGATTGGCTGACCCGTACACTCATTGAGGATCTGACAGGATTAACGTTAACGCTACCTCCGGTTGAGTGGCCTGACATCTACACCAACCTGATAGAGAAACGGAGGGCATATAAATCTTTAGATGCCTATAACTATGTGCTGAATGGTGATGTGCAAGACGTGTGTGTACGATCCGCAGTTCTGCCTAGCCAGCGCCATGAAGACGACAATGTAAAGAGTGACATTACGGTGCAATTTTAATGAGGTGAATATTTTCTAGAAATAAAAAATTGCAGATAAAGCATATTAATGTTTCATTGATTCTTGCACCCAACAACACAACAAGATGACATTTAATAATAATAAGAATAATTTAAGATCCTTATTTTGTAGCCGAATCTGTGCTGGTTTGTATTCACCGCCTCCAGTTTTCCCTTTGTTCTGCCACCAGCTAGCGCTGTGACGTAACTGTGACGTCGGCTGGAAATTGGTCTATTAGGAACACCATACTAATACTGTATTTGACCCAATTTCGCCTTCAGAACTGCCTTAATTCTACGTGGCATTGATTCAACAAGGTGCTGAAACCATTCTTTAGAAATGTTGGCCCATATTGATAGGATAGCATCTTGCAGTTGATGGAGATTTGTGGGATGCACATCCAGGGCACGAAGCTCCCGTTCCACCACATCCCAAAGATGCTCTATTGGGTTGAGATCTGGTGACTGTGGGGTCCATTTTAGTACAGTGAACTCATTGTCATGTTCAAGAAACCAATTTGAAATGATTCGAGCTTTGTGACATGGTGCATTATCCTGCTGGAAGTAGCCATCAGAGGATGGGTACATGGTGGCCATAAAGGGATGGACATGGTCAGAAACAATGCTCAGGTAGGCCGTGGCATTTATACGATGCCCAATTGGCACTAAGGGGCCTAAAGTGTGCCAAGAAAACATCCCCCACACCATTACACCACCACCACCAGCCTGCACAGTGGTAACAAGGCATGATGGATCCATGTTCTCATTCTGTTTACGCCAAATTCTGACTCTACCATCTGAATGTCTCAACAGAAATCGAGACTCATCAGACCAGGCAACATTTTTCCAGTCTTCAACTGTCCAATTTTGGTGAGCTCTTGCAAATTGTAGCCTGTTTTTAGTGGAGATGAGTGGTACCCGGTGGGGTCTTCTGCTGTTGTAGCCCATCCGCCTCAAGGTTGTGCGTGTTGTGGCTTCACAAATGCTTTGCTGCATACCTCGGTTGTAACGAGTGGTTATTTCAGTCAAAGTTGCTCTTCTATCAGCTTGAATCAGTCGGCCCATTCTCCTCTGACCTCTAGCATCAACAAGGCATTTTCGCCCACAGGACTGCCGCATACTGGATGTTTTCCCCTTTTTACACCATTCTTTGTAAACCCTAGAAATGGTTGTGCGTGAAAATCCCAGTAACTGAGCAGATTGTGAAATACTCAGACCGGCCCGTCTGGCACCAACAACCATGCCACGCTCAAAATTGCTTAAATCACCTTTCTTTCCCATTCGGACATTCAGTTTGGAGTTCAGGAGATTGTCTTGAACAGGACCACACCCCTAAATGCATTGAAGCAACTGCCATGTGATTGGTTGATTAGATAATTGCATTAATGAGAAATTGAACAGGTGTTCCTAATAATCCTTTAGGTGGGTGTACATTATAATATAAGGAAGTGTTACAAGTGTAAAAAAAAATGGTGCCTTTAACATGGAAATCGTTTTCATTTATAACACTAATTTACATTCGACTAAACAACACTCAAACCCATAAAGGGGATTTTGCCGCCTCATTTCAGAGGTCTACTACACACCACTGATGTTATATGATGTGTGTGAATTTATATTTGTAGGTCCAAGTCGCAGATTTAGAAGAGTTGTTGAAACGATTCAAGCCCAGTTGCTCGGCGCTCATGATCAGTCCATGACGCAAACTCTTTCAGGTAAGAACGAACGCATATCATGAATTGTTCCAGCCTGTTTCCACTCCTCCGTAGCTTTCTTTTGCCTCATGCCAGATGAGAAGAACGGTCGCCCTCCCAGAACACCAACACGACAAAACTCCCGGCGGTCCGAGGGCGGAGGCGATCGGTGTGAATGGGTGGAGCGCGGCGAGAGTGGGGTTTTACTCCAGCGCAGGGGTTCGGGGAAAGAAAGAACCCGCCTACTTTCCTCCAGTGGAACACAATCACAGCCCTAAAGGAGAAATATTGTGAATAATCAGCAACCCATCAAGATATTAGCCATGATATGAGACAAAACTACTCAAACTTTCCTTTTCCCCTTCTCACTTCAGAACAGCATGATGGTAAAATGTGTTTTTAAAGGAGCTTTTTGAAAGCCTAATGAAACCAAATACTGATACACAAACAGTAGACGGCCTCTTTGTGCAAGAACACGGGATGCAGTGAAGCAAAGAATCATCTCCACTGAACAAGAACACTACACACACTTCTGAGATCCGAGGAACACCTCTGAAAATGATTTAATTGGTCATCCTGGACAATGCTTTGATTTATGCTGTATTTTCTCTCATGTGATTTGGATGTAATGTGCAAAACTTGAGTCTTAAGAGTTTATAATGACATTCGTGGAAGGTTCCGGTTGTGGGTAGCACACCATCTGTTCCTTACAGTCCTGCTATCTGTTTCAGCAATCGAGTAATTATAGCTAGCAACAGAGATCTTAGTCCAATTAGTCTGAATTTGTATCCTCCAAATCATGTTTTTAACACACACACAAAAAATTTTAGAGATCCAGATCCAAAAGCTATCAGCACCAAGAGTCTGCTCAGTCATATGCAATAAAAATCAATAAGCTACAAAAGATTCAGTTTAACAAAGCTGCACACACTGAATCTTTTAAAACATGATTACCTCTATGAGCGGACAGACTCATGATGATTTTATGACCGTAAATAGTACCATAGCTCACCAGCCCTTCGTCATTATCTATAGACAACTTCATTTTCACTCTCCACAGAAATGCTGCATGCTAAATAACATCACCCCCCACAGCAAGCATCACCCCTAATGACTGAATGTGATTGTAGAACAATTCTGCGTGCGTTTACACATCGAAATCTGGCCTCCATTCACCCTTTTGGCAGCTCAAAAATGCGAGACCATCTGACTAATGGACGATTCCCATGACTGTTGTCTCCAACAAGAGTTCAGATGTAACGTTTCCCTTTTAAATGCCAAAGGGAACGGGAATCTCTCCAAAATACGAAAAGGATTTTCATTCCAATTCTCTGTTGCTGCAAGACTTTTGGTTGAAGCCAACCAAGTGAATGTTGTTGACTATTTTACTTATGAATTTTGATTTATGTGTTGAAATGTTTGGGGTATTAAAAATACATATTTTGGGAGAATACAATAACGATTCCAAAAGACAGTGAGACCATTAAAAAACATTTTTGGTTCCCTAAAGAACCTTACGATGAACCGTTTTTTAAAGTGCCCCTATTATGCTTTTTTAAATACAATTAATCTAGAATAAAGTTATTCTTATTCTATCCTAAAAAAAATCGATTCTGAACTGCTGAAATGAGTCGTCAGTAATTCCAGTCTCACTTCCTGTTACAAACATACATAACAATATAACTATTATAAATTTGCATAATGCCAGCCTATGGTCTTCATTGGCTGCCCTCGAACAATGTCTACTTTGACCCGCTTTCAAACACTGTCGTTGTAGCTGAGACCGCAAGAGTTTGGTTCATGTTGTCGACATGTCGAGTAGTTCCGGTTTTCGGTGCGGCGAATCCACTTTGCATGTACTACAAAAGGACAAGGACTTGCGCTATAATCCGACACCATCATTACTATTCATATCACTGTGTATCAAGAGCTCAGGCAGATCTGGAGCTGAAATTCAGATATGGTAATGGGCGTTTTGTTTCTGACACGCACTGTTAGCTGTAGACCAATCACAACAGACTGGGCCGTCTGACCAATCAGAGCAGAGTATCTCTCGGAAAGGAGGGGTTTAGAGAGACTGAATCTTCAAACTAACCGTTTTCAAACTCTTTGAGAAATGAGGTGATGTGCAATATATATTATGAGAAAAGTTTTGTTTTTTCAGACATTGGATGCATGTACGCATATTGTAGAAGACCTCCTGAACAAAATTAGGAACTTTTAAAATAGCATAATAGGGGCACTATAAAAGAACCTTTTTTTTTTTCTTAGTGTAAAGAACCTTTTAATAATGTGAAGACATTTTTTCCACTGTAAACAACCTTTTGTGCAATGGAAAGGTTTGGATGTTAAAGGTTCTTTATAGAACCATAGATGCTGATTAAGAGCCTTTATTTTTAAGAGTGTATGGCAAAGGTCAAGAAAAACAAAAAAGCAAACATACACATTATGAATTTAAAACTATAAATTATTGGGTTTAAATACTGTGTAAAAAAAAAAGGTGTAATTTCTGTGTCACTATCATCACCGAACGGAATTGCAAAAATATTTTCAAACAGATTTCCGGACCCTCCCCCTCATCTGTCATTCAGACCGATAGCCCCACCCCAAATTCACACTATTGGTTGACTCAAATTTGCTTTTGTTTTTTCATGCAAAATAATTTTCAATTTCCCTCTAAAATACACACTTCAGATTTAAGGAGAAAACCGAATCGCAGAAAGGACCTGATTTGAATCTCCTTTGCACAGTATTACCGTAATGACAGGAAAAGAAAGACTTCCTCTGGACATTATCTGATGTGGAAGAGATGCTGTACCTTACTAAGAGGAAAATGAATAATGAATGGTATCCGAAACAAAATAAGCCATTGTCCAGGCCACGGACCTTGCTCACACCATCTCACGAAATATGTACATTCACATCAATTTGTCTCTAATTATGATTATGAAACAGTATAAAACATCAAATTGATCTCTTTGTACAGCACTGCTTTGTCATCGTGCTTCCGTGCAGCGGTTATGCAACTGATCCAGCATAATATATCTGAAAGAGGGACCTCTATGACACTCTCTGTATAAATGGATTTTCTGCTCAACAACTGTCATGAATCCTGTAAATGGGATTCTGCAGAGTTTTGTGTGTCTGTCTGTATGTCAGTTCACTAATGTTTTCCATTTTTTACTTTTAGTTATTTATTATATGGACATCGGTTGGAACTAAACTGCTCATTATATCATGTGACATATGTACCATCATATCATATTTATAATATACATATAGTTTATAATATTATTTAAATGTATATTTATAATATACATATATAGGCCGTCGCTAGTGGGGCGAAAGGTGGTGACGATTTTAGGGCCCGCCAGCTTTTACAGGAATAACAACAAGACTAAATGACTTGGGAACATGTTAAATCTGGCCAGGTTTCGTTAACTCTTCAATTTCTGTGGTTATGTATGTATGCGTGCAATGTCTTTCCAACCCCTCAACAGAATTTTAAAATATATCAGTGAATATATGTTGACATCTCATTGACTATGAGTGAATGAATTATAGTGTTGCATCTGGAAGGTTGTGCACAGTGTCTGTTCACAATGCACACAGGTTAACCATATGAGTGCTCTGCATGTCAGACCACGTTGTTCTTTGTATATTTGCTTTGAAAGTAAATGTGTGTGTATGGATGTACAGTTGGAATGCATAGTGCATATGTGTGTGTGTGTGTGTGTGTGTGTGTGCGTGCGTGTGTGTGTGTGTGTGGGAGAGAGGGAATTATAATGGATACAGGATGGTCTACGTAATCAGTTTGATAGGCATCAATAAAAATAACCAACAAAGTCACATCTTTGTGTTGTTACTCATCTCATCTGCTTACAATGAAAATCGACTAAAACCATAAAAAAACGAATCAAATTAAAATACATTTTAATTGAAATAATTAAAAATGTAAAAAAAAATTCCTTAAACTTATTTTATTTCAGCTATTATATGGTCATACTCGTAATAATATATATTATTTTAACATTTCTAATTTAGTTTAGGTTGATGTACTAGAATAACTAAAACAAATAATAATTAAGAAAAACTATATATATTAAAAAAACATACAAGTGACAGAAAAAACAGCACAGAATTATTAAAAATTACAAAAATTAAACTGAAAACAGAAAATATAAACATAAATACTAATTCAAAACATTAATAAAAATATAATAATAATAATAATAAATAATAATAACACGGGTATATGGATCAGCTTCCTCCCATCCTTAATTATACGAGAATATAAGTATAAGAATAGAATATAAATAAATGTGTCATTCCTTGTGAAAGTTATTATAGAACCCAGTCCGGATGCCTTGCCCACAGATTGTTCTGGGATGATTTCACAATTAATTGACAATATTATGATGTATTAATAATAAAAATGTAAATACTGTGTCTGTAAACTGTACCATGTGCTACCCTTCATTTTTCAGTTAAACTAAGAAGTGAAACAATCTGTTGTTGAGGAGGAAGTAGAAGTGTTGATATAAAACAAGGCCTACACAAATACAATTAATTTTGTGATTTTAGAACTGTATGTTATTCACTGTTGCTTGAGGGATCAAGTTAAATAGAAAAAAGAAGAAAAAAACGTTATACCTCTAAAATTACATTTATTTGCATACTAAATTGGCCTTCAATAGGGCTTAATTCTTAGTCACCAAAATATCGTTTTTTTGTGTGTGTGCTGAAGTGGAACTGATTTGGCATTTCATTCACGCAGAACCTTTGTAATTCTATTTCCTTCAGACATCCATATCTATATTTTTATTACTCAAAGCTCTAATGGAAATTTGACCAGTGAGCCATTTACACTGGTATCACGTATTTCATATGCATCTTAATGAGATAAACTTCCATGAAATGCCCAGGAGGGGATTAGAGGGCTTTCTTTCAGCTCTCACCACTGGATGTCAGTCAGGTAATCCTGCGGTGGGAATTAGAGCGCCTCCCAGCGGTGACGATGAGATTTGCATTCCTCACATGTTTAAATTGAACAAGTTCATCTTTACAAAGCAACAATAACCTACTTGTCACTTGTCAGATAGATTTGCTGTGCCTCTGTATGTTTACCAAATAAACAGAAGCGTATAGATTAACTTTGGAGTTTGGACACAATTTTAAATAACTCCAACCCAGTACCTCTACATAGGCTACAAGTATTGAATTTCTGGCAATGTTGGTTCTGTATTTTATTCTCAAAAATATCCTCAGCTAAAACACATTGTTGGAGATTACTAGGCCTATACGGATAAAAATCCATCCATTAATGGGTACTTTCCAACACAATCCAGCAAAACAGGATATGCTGATAGTATAGAGGCCTGTTCCCTCAACATCAAGGCTGTGTGTCAAAATCTAATAAGCTGCCTAACTAGACAGCAGCGTTGCTTTTTGTGTGTGCAGTATTTTGGGCACCACAGGATGATGATGCCTCAAAATGATGCTGACACAGGAACACCTATGATGGCCAAAAGTGTCAGTATCCAGCTCACAAGATTTGAGTTTAAGGTCAGTTGGACTTAATCCAATTCCAGATTGTAATCGTATGATAGTGTGAGCTCCATGTGAACATATACACGTTTTAAACAAATACAGATCAAATTTGTTTATAGCTGTGCACATTGCATATACCGCAATCTATCTCTATAGAATTATTAGTTGTGCCAATTATTCAAGTTTAATGCTATTTTCCCTGTTCAACTTATTAGTTATGAAAGGACAACCAGAATTAGGCTGATAAACAGTTTAAAGTCA